TATTTATCTGAAATTGTGCCAAAATACATATCTAAACCCAATAATCAGGAAAATAGTCATCAAAAATGAAATCTGCGACGAAAAATACATAAGAAACATATATCCCGATTTGTTTTATGAGCGCAAAAACTACGTAAATGAGCAAACCAAGTCGCGTGATGTGCCATGTCCGGCCTGCCCTATGACTCGATCCACCGTGCGCCGTAAGAACTTTCAGGCATTGTCACATTTCCTTCAATATAAAACGTGTTTATTGGGAAAATTGGGAATATTTTTCTTCAAATGTTTCAGACAAATTTCTTCGCAATTTGATATAAAATATCTGAAAATACCAAAGAAAAATATGCATAACTTTCCTCAAAAATACATATTTTATCCGGGGAAATTTGGCAATTCTCAAATGTTCATACAGCGTTTTTCCTTAGCAAGGTAGCATTTTGCATGACATTCTCTGAAAAATTGGAAAAAACATTCCCACAGCAAGTTTCCCTGAAAATCCTTTTTTTATCGACAGAAATTTGGCAATGTCTGAGGGTTCATACGGCTTTCTCCCTTCGCCTTCGCAAGGTAAAATCCACGGAGGAAGTTAGTTCCACCTCGGGAAAATGATGTAATCGCAGTGGTTTAATTCGAGGCTTGCGGTCGGATAATCCGCGATCCACCTGTTGGACCAACATTGTAAAGCAAACACAATGACATCCCCGGCAATCCCAAAGCGCGCGTGTAATTATTTTCATTTGAGCCGATGACTGGACACATCGGCATCGGCGCGTCTTTGAGTCGACGAAATTTCTCCGGTCCCGCCTTTGATTAGCGGTCGGGAATAATAACCGGGGTCGGGCTCGAGCGCCTGGAGATCTTAATCAGTATCAGATCGATTATCGATATTTCCCCATTTGAAGCCATGCTAAAGAATCGATTGTTAAGGTGTTCGTTGCGATCACCGTGTTTATCGATCCTTCTCCACGGGTTTAAATGGCGGATCAATCGATAAATCGCAAAGCCGGCAACGCTACTGATCTTAATCAGGCATTGACGGGATGACGCCCGTCCTCTCGTCCAAATATTAATAAATAATCTCCGTGTCTGTGATTACGCCGTCTGCGACTCCTCGTTACTCGCGAGGCGTGAACCTGGAGAGGACGGCTACCGTTGGGCAGCATCCGACGGTTGCCCCAGGTGGGAAGGTGGCGCATAGCGGAGCGGCACACAGTGGATCGAGTCAAGAGGGGAGATCGGACAAAATTTGGAAACTTTAAACGCTTATAACTCGGTTTATACAAAAATTTGAGGTTCTTAAAGTGGTTCCGTTGGTTTATTCGTGAAATAATCTACTCAAGGCACCCCTTAGAGTTTAAAATATGACGAAATAAACATCAAAATTTGCAGTATTAGTAAGAAATTTCATGTCAGACTCTCTAATTGACTCGATCCACTGTGCGGCATGGCGCTTGGCAGCAGGTACAATGGAGGTGTCTTGAGCGCCGGTGGATCATTGGGGTTCCTGCAAGGATGAGGTATGTATAACTCAGAATAAAAATGGGGTACTCACCTGCCCAAAAGTACACTAGTACGAAAGGCATGACCGACTGTCTGACCCTCCCTTTCCCCTCCCAGCAGGCTGATTATTGGAATTGGTAGACAAAGCTATAGACAAAGACGACAAAAGGTGTATGGAGGAATCTTTTTTGTGGAAGCGGATGGTTGCGATGGTTAAAGGAGATAGGTAATAGACCACCTGACGGAAACTCACGAGAGACCCTGTAGTTAGTCCAAATTTTTCCTCTTGGTCTACAGAGATCATCCACTTCAACCGACAGGATCGCTCCATACTCCCTATGTCTTCTTTATAACTTTGTCTATAAATTTCAATTATCAGGCCGCAGACACCCAAGAGACATCCTCTCGTCTTCCCTTTTGAACGGAATATTTCGAGATCGGATACTTGCAGGTTTATTTTGAGGTTAACGGAATACATTTTTTGGGAACGAACAAATGTGGGCCTTTAAGCATTGTGAATGTATTTTCGGCCAAATAATTGAAACGGGTCGGTATTTTAGCAAAACTTGTTTGATATCACGGTGTCGCGTTCATGAATTCCTGGTAAAAATTGGCAGTAGAATCTGTGTTCCAAAATACCATAGACCTACAGCCGGCTGTAAGATTTCCAATAGCTTCTAAAGCCGGCTGCACAATTTCTTATAGCTTTTTATAGCCGATGGCGACTAAGGAACAGCCAGGTGATAAAGTGTATGCTAAACGTTACTAATTACGGATGCTAGGACTTAGTGAGTTTTTGGACTGCTGCTCTCTTTTTGGGCCGTAGTATCTTGATTTATTTTGCGAGGAAAGCTCCGTATGTTTTGATGGATACCTGTCATTCCCAATATATTAGAGCGCCTTCAGTTTCGTATGATACTGTGCAATACCTCTGGTGTGAAATAGTTGCTTCAAGCGCCGTGGCGTGGCACGCTGCGGCGCGGCGGGCGGGCTGCAGAGAACGCGAAACGCGCATTGGCGCCTACAAACCTAACAAGGATACTTCACGCATTGCGCAATGCGTGAAGTATCTCTGTTAGGTTTGCAGGCGCCAGTGCGTCGCCGCTCCGCTTTGTGTTAGGCTCTAATATGTAATCTGGCGGAGTCAGCGTTATTCAACTCATGATTTTGAAATGTTTGCACATCCTGTATGGATTATTCTCATTTTAATTGATGAAAACAAATATGTATTAAAGAAAAATATAATGTGCGTTTTGTAAATATTTAAGTGGTCCCGTATCAAACTTAATGATTTCCAAAGCACACAAATTTCTACACAATTTCTTATAGCCTTTTATAATCGATGGCGAAAAAGCAACAGCCAGGCGAGAAAGTGTAAAGCCCGGCAATAGGAACTTTAGCCCGGCTGCATAATTTTTTATGGCTTCGTATAGCCCGGCCGTATGATTTTCTCCGCATTCTACAGCCAGCTATATGATTTTCTGTTGCCTTCTTTAGCCAGCTATAAGAATTACTATGGTACTTTGAAACGCAGCTCTTATTGCCAATTTTTACCAGGGATGGGTGAGTTTGCACTGGACTACCTTTATTTTGCAAGTATTAGGAGCTACAATGTCTAGCTCTTCGTGAAAAAGACCCTTGTGTATGGGGGTACTATTTGTGCGTCGTATCTACACTGAGCCAGGTATTGCAGTTCCAAATTGAAAATGCAGTCCGATTAAAGTTCGACCGACTGAACAACTTTCGTTCACATTTTGTCGAAAAGTTCAAATTTAAATTATTGATCCTCTTAAAATTATCAGAAGATGACCCGATCAACCCCCCCCCCCCCC